CAATTGCTAGTGATCGCCGAATGGAGAAATTCGAGGACCTCATGACGAAGTTACTCATCCCAAAGGATTCATCTCAGTCGACTTCTATGCCAGAGGAATCTAAGTCTGACGGAGGAATTGATCTCACGAAATTCCGAACATCAGACGGACCCGTATACAAAGGGCCTTACCGAGAATCAGAACCATTTCTTTTATGGTACTCGTCTCTGAAGACGTTCTTCCGCACCAAAGGTGTCATATTGGATAAAGATAGAATCACGCTAGTTGGGAATTTTCTTGAGGAACCGAACGCCCACGCTTTCTATGAAGGCGGTTTTGATCGCTTTATCAAAGGTACCTGGAAAGAATTTCTCGTTCAACTTTTTGATTCCTGCCTACCCAGCGATTGGAACAGTCGGCTCTTTGAAAAAGCCCAACATCTGAAGATGTCGCCGTACGAGGACTTTATCACTTATAGTTCCAGAGCTCGTGGAATTCAGATCTTAATTAACTTCCACACGATCACCATAAACGATCATCAATTAGCGACCTTTGTAGAATATGGAATGGTTGAAGAACTAAAGACCGCTGTTAAACTCTGGGGGTTCTCAAGACAGACCAAGGACTTCACTTATTCCACCTTCGAAAATCAGTGTGAAACCTTATATGCTTCCTTGGTTGCCTCTCACGCTATCATCAAGAGGACTAGACCCACTGCACCGTTGTACATTCAAAATACGTCGCAAAATCGCTCCAGAATCGCCAATCCTAGTACTTCAGTTCGATTAAGTGATGAAGAGTTCAACTGGAAGATTCATTCTTACCGCGACTCGATTGGGCAGTGTCATTTCTGCAAAGGATACTGCGGCAGTGAGTACAGGGCATGTAAAGGTCCGTATTTCAGAGAGAAGGTTCGATTTCCTCCAGGCTACGTAGCGCCACCGAAACCAGCCAACTATGTCCCTCCTCGAGCACGATCCTCTCCTTTATCTAGTCAGTCCTCAGCGGGACGAGCTACTCAGCCCCCGGCAGGACGACCAGGACCTTCTTATGCTTGAGCAGCGGCAGCTTCAGAGTTTCCAGAATTGGACGAGGCCTCGGTTGCTGCACTACAAGCGTTAGATGAGGAACTCGACCTGGCAGAAGAAGAAGGGTGCGTTGAATCTCCAAAACCCCCGCGCGTTATCATTGAATTCGAATATCGTGGCATGAAATTGAAAGCCCTGGCTGACCCTGGTGCTGAGGTCAACCTAATTACAGAACAGGCGGTCGAGCGTTTTAAGCTGCGAAAGCGAAAATTAGTGCGACCTACACAGCTTAGCCTAGCCGTCAACACCGACTCACCGGCACCATCCCTAACTCACTTTACCACGTTCGATTTGCTGGAACCTACTTCGGGTAAAAGCTTTGATCGGACATATTGCAAGCTGGGGGATGTGGGAGGTGATTTTGATATGATACTGGGGACGCCATTCTTTAATATTTTTCAACTTTCTGTTTCTATTCACCAAAGAGCTATTGTATGTGAACGTACTGGAATGAAAATCTTTGATTATCGAGTTTTAAAAGAATTAAATGAAAGACTTAACCAAGTTTCGATTCCGCGCATCACTGAGCCTCGGAGAGAGTATGATACGAGCTGGGAGAAGAAGCTGAGTGAGCGAGAGAATCATGTGATTTTAAGTGAGAAAGAGAGACTGGAAGTGGAGATGTTTGAGGAGTTTCATGACTTATTTCCTGCAGACATACCAGCGGTATCGGATGAAGCAGAGGAGGAAGGATTGTTTGTAGACGGATCTTTCCCTGAGAAGTTGCAGAATGAAAGCTCAAGAATACGACACAAAATCATTTTAAAAGACCCCGATGCAATTATCAACGAAAAGCAGTACAACTACCCGCCAAAACACATGAATGCGTGGAAAAAACTGGTCGACCAGCACCTTGCAGCTGGGAGAATCCGACGATCAACTAGTCAGTACGCGTCACCAAGCTTAATTATACCAAAGAAGGACCCTTCCGAACTTCCGAGATGGGTATGTGATTACCGTGTCTTGAACAGCCTGACCGTGAGGGACCGCGCACCACTACCAAATGTCGACAGGTTGGTCAGGCTGGTAGCTTCTGGAAAATTTTTTTCAATCATCGATCTCACCAACGCCTTCTTTCAAACTCGAATGAGAGAGGCTGACATCCCCTTAACAGCAGTACAGACACCATGGGGCCTTTACGAATGGTGTGTGATGCCGATGGGGCTCACCAATGCACCAAGCACTCATCAAGGGAGATTGGAAGAAGCATTACGTGAACTATTGAACTCCATCTGTGTTGTATATCTTGACGA